ACATTCCTTTGTCCAGACTTCATCTTCTTCTTCCAAAAATGTAGCATAGTTGATTTGCAGCAATTTTATAGTGAATTTTAATAGCCATTTGGACATTAATTGCTGGACTTTTCACCCCAAACCACACGAACTTTCCCAGAGAAAGAACATGCAGGTAGTGGGGCTAGTTGATATTGAACTGGCCTCCTCTCTGGGGAAAACAAGAGAACTGTGAGGTCAGCTGCTGGTTTCCATGGTGTCCTCGCTCCCTCCAAGACTGACTTCAAGCTGCGATCACGATCTCTGAACATTCCTGAGCCTGTCCCCAAGCCAGGGTGGGCCAGTATGCCCATGAGGAGGGGAACGCTTTTGAGCAACAGCCATGCACTAGGACAGCGTTTGTGTCTTGCTCATCTGATTGTGCAGCTTAAGGTGTATGATTCATGGCAAATGATTCTTCATGTTCTGTTCAGTTGTCCTTTGTCTTGCATCAGTGTCATCCTGTGTCACCATCAAATCTCAGAGACAGAGATGTTCGGCTAGAATGGCACAAGAAAACATCGACCACACAGTATTGAGCAATCACTGCATAAAAACAGATTTTAAAGATACATTTCAAGGGCCTTTGAAAACAGTTCCTGGAGGATCTGCAGGATAAGTAGGTCTCTGTGTTGGTGTGATCTGTCTTAATGTGAGATCATGACCCTTACCAGCCCTCTCTGTTCAGCCTGAGAAGAGTTTGTCAAGCTGAGTTCCAGAAATCCAACAGTAATGTCACAAAGAGAGGTTTGTGTTTGTTTGTTTGTTTTTCATTGTAAAGCAGGCAGCAGCTCTACAGATGTGAGGAATGTCGTTCCACTGCCCTCCCAACTGAGGTGACTCCAAAAAGCTTTGTATGACTTTTGAGTAGGAGAAGAGATTTTATTGGCATTTTCTCCCAACCTAGAAATGGGCCCTGTACATGGTGAAACTAGAAGGTGGGAAACCTCATCCTTCACAACTTATAGTATCATATAATTGCTATTCAAGTCTATGAAATAAGATATCATTTTCTGAAAATTGACAAATTTTATTCTTTTTGGTTTTATGCACTATACCAAACACACACACACACACACACACAGGCAAATGTTAAAAATTTTCTACTCACCACACCAAACCTCAAAAGAATATTCAGTTTTAAATATTGTATTTTAAGAATGAGGAAATTTCAGATGTTGCCTCAAACGTTGACTGGCAAGGTCACCTTGACTGACACTGCCACAGAATTTTGTGAAGAGGTCAGTTCCTCCTTCCGGAAGAGTGAGTTGAGCTAAGGGGGAATAAGTGTCCTGCAGATGGGACCGGCTGAACACCCACATGCTCATTCACACAGAACCATCTAGATTCCATTTCTTAAAGTTTATTAGCAATATGTCTTACTAATAGGAATAGCCTGCAATATTGGTACAAGTAAATGATCTAAATGAAATAGAAGGGCTGAGTAGTGTCAATCTTCTGCTAATGGTGGGCCCTTTTACTCAACCTGTGTCCCATCATGTTCTATCACCCTTCTCAACAATCTATAAAAATATTTATGTTGATGAAATACATTGCTCACTTTTAAATATAACCACATTTTTGGACACTCAATCAATTCAATAAACAATAACAAAGTCCCTATCATCCACCAAGCACTATGCCTAGTTTGGAAGGAGCCCTGGGCATAGACGTACTTGGACTAAGTGTCATGAAATTTTACCCCTTTTTCCCAGCAAGACCTAGAAGAGAGTATTAGATACTGTTCCAAATCACTCATTCCAAATCAAAGCTTGGTACAATCTCTTAGTAACAATAAATATTGAGCATCACTCTTTTGAGATTGACAGATTAAATAGAAATATATGCACATGTATGATTTAGCTGCAAATGCACCCTAAGGACCAAAGTGCTCTAGTTTTGTTGAAATGTATTTGATTGAATATCAATAAAATCAATCCATAATTTAGTATCATTTGGATAACCCAGTATCCAAATGATTGATCATCATTGATATTTTTCCTTATTTCTGAGTTCAGTCATTTAAAGCATTTTATTTCCCCCATAGTTAAAATACATTAATAAATAAATATCAATCAAAAGTATTTAGGTATATACAGCAAGATGATTTATAATAGCAGTTTTAAAACTGGGTTACAGACCTGAGGCTTCCTAACACTTACCAAGGGCTATTGGAGCAAAGATAGTTTTAAAGAGTTAAATCCATTTAAAATGATTCCCTTTCACAATTGTCCTCTTTCTGCTTCATGAAAGAAAATTGCCTTAGGGATATAAAAACTGCTGAAGGATGCATGACACTATTTGAAATGTTGGCATAGGTGTTAAGAAAGTTAAGACGAGATAGCAAATCATGTTCTGCTATCAGGGAGTACTTGATTTCTTCTTTAAAAAAACTAAAGAGTAATGCTATTGTCCAATGATACATTATTCAAATACTTTTGATAACAAATTATGTTGATTAGGGTCATACAGAGAAATAGAGCTAATAGGAGCTAGATCTGCAACAAAATAGACACAGACATAGACTTAGACATAGACCTAGAGATTTATTGTAAGGAATTGGCTCAAGCAATGGCACTGATAAGCTCAAATTTCCTAATGCTGGCTAGTAGGCTGGAAATTCAGGAAGGGCTGATACTGCAGTCTTTAATGCAAAACCTATGGAACGGGTCAGCAGGCTGGAAACCCAGGTGAGATTTCTGTTTTGATATTACAGTGTTCAGGAAAATTGCTTCTCCTCAGGATCCTGTCGCTGGTCTGATGGCCTTCACCTGATGGACGAGGCCACTCACATTGTGGAAGGTGATCTGCTCAACCCAAAGGCTACTGGTGTGTTAATCACTCCACAGATATGTTCACAGCAATGTCTACGCTAGTGACTGAACAAAAGAGTGCGCACCACAGCCTGTTGGCTTGACACACAACTCAACCATTACAGAGAATATATATATATCTATATATAGATATATATATATATGTACTGTTTTTCATACGCTGTTTTGCATATGACCCAAGATGGCCAAAGAACAGTGACGTGGCTATCACTGAGCTTCCATTCCTACCTACTTATTTGAGTGAACACCATCTTTTGATCTGGAAAGATGAGAAGTAATGAAGAATTAATGCCCAACCCTTCTAGCAATAAGTAGTGCTCACCCATGGCTATGCGAGCTGATTGCTAGTTTCTACCTGTCCCCACAAAACATACATTCATTTAATGATTATCAAAACTTACATTTATGCCATTTCAATCACTTTTGTACTAATGACTCCAATGAACTCAATCTAAAAGACAAGTTTGAATAGGAGACCCTACACGTATAAATATTCAAAAATTATTTTCCAAAATGGTACACATTTTACTGCTAAGTAATAAGATAATTAATAAATGATTTAAGCATAAGATTTGTTAAATTAGGGTACATTTCTGTAGTAAGAATGAAAATACAAAAACAAAGATACCAGTGAAATACCTGGTTTGAAAATTTTGGTTGCATATTTTTGAATGAAGTATAGGAAGGAACTCACTGCTATATTGAATGCAATTTTATAAGCTGCACTTTAAAACAGCAATGTTTATACTGAAAATTAAATTTTTTATTATTAGTATAATTATGATAAGTTTTAAATGTGCAAGAGGATATATAGTTTTTCAAAACTCTTTCCACAGATGTGTAAGGAAAAGTTCAGAAGACCACAGCCATACACAATGTATCTTATCAGCCCCAAAGGCACTTCTAAGAATAACTCCATGCTAAGTGAAGAGAACCAAAAATTCTCAACTCTACAGAAGGTGTGGCCAGAATACAACCAACATCTACTTCAATTGCATTTTTTGAATGAGGAAATATGCCCCAGAAAGAGTAAAAAAGGCTTTCTCTGCCTTCTCCAAAACCTTTGCCTACATGGTGATACAGAGACCTCCTGACCTGTGTATTGGCACCCCAGCCTGTTGCACTGACAGGACTGTAGGGGGCAGACACTCAGCAACACAAGCTCAAACAGGAACATCAGAATGGCATTTCACTTAAAACTTTTAATTAGTACCCTACAAATTAGCATTTTTTTCCTAGTTATAAATTTAGTTTGTCCCTGAACTTCCAGAATTTAACAGATTTTAGCCAAGTGTGGTGGCTCATGCCTGTAATCTGGTGACTCAAGAGGCTGTGGCAGGAGGGTCACAGGTTCAAGGCCAATGTTAGCAACTGAGCAAGGCCCTGTCTCAAAATAAAAATAAATCGATAAATAAAAAGGACTGAAGATGTGGCTCAGTGTTAAGCATCCCTGGGTTCAAAAAAAAAAATCTATTTTAAGAATTTAACGGGGCTGGAGATGTGGCTCAAGCGGTAGCACGCTGGCCTGGCATGCATGCGGCCCGGGTTCAATCCTCAGCACCACATACAAACAAAGATGTTGTGTCCGCCGAAAACCAAAAAATAAATATTAAAATTCTCTCTCTCTCTTTCTCTCTCTCTCTTAAAAAAAAAAAAGAATTTAACAGATATTAACAAGAACCTACTTGACAGTCTGATCCTGACACACAGTCCTAAAGTAGACAAATAGCTACTAAGGGTCACATGCTCCGTCACAGGCCCCTATGTTGGGGGCTCTGCGTCTTTCCCTGGGGTAGTGCTTAGCATAGTGATGGGGGAAGGAGCACCGTGCTCGGTGGTGGTGGCCTGTGTTGGAGCACACGCTGTCATGGAGCCATCTATTTGTATGAATATTCTCCAACACGATTGTGTTACTTTTACAATGGAAGATTGTTTCCAGGAATGCTCAGAGAATATGAGTTGCTTGATGTTCACAAAATGTTTGGAGTTTAGACCAAAAAAAAAACAATATTAAAGGAAGGGAAGATATTTTACAGCTTTAAACAGAGATTCATCAAGATGCTGAAAACATGCGAGAAAAACAGGAGAACCAAAGGCCTTTTTGTCTTTGCGCTTTTATTTAACACAGTTAATTCCTGTAACCAGATGAAGAGATGAAGCCCCACCCTGTGGGGCTATAGCCCAAGAGATGCCAGTCCAGGGTTGTGCCTGTCACAATGCATCCTCAGGGGCTGGGGGTACCTCAGTGGCAGAGCCCCTTGCCCTGCGTGTACCAGGTCCTGGATTCACTCCCCAGCACTGCAAGGAAAACAGAGAAAGAAAAGGAGATGCAGTGTCCAAATGGTAAGAAAAGGTTGGCTGGATATTCCCCGATTAAACCTCTGCAGAGACAGTGAGGAGCCTCCGTTTCTAGCCACCCAGGAAGGCACCTCAGTGAGCATGCTGGCCTTCCTCTCTGGTCCTCTCAAATTCCACACCCACTAGAGCCGTTCATTTTCCAAACCAAGGGAGTAGGGAAATAAAAGAAAAAGTAATTCAATAAATCACCTCCCCTTCCATCCCAGATCCAGAAATGCTTCTTTCTCTGTCCAGTCTCCGGTACACCGAGGTCCAGCCTTTGCCGGATCCTCCCCCTGCCTCCTTTCTGGAAATGGTGGTAGAAATGGGTGGGTGGGCAGGAGAATGGGAGTGGGCTGGAAGTGACAGATTCCTGAACCATCTTGCTTAAATTGAAATCATCCTAGGAAACCTGGAAAAAATAATTTTAAAAGCTGAACATTTGCCTACAAAATGATAACAAATGCACTTTATCACTACTTCCAACAACAACAACAACAAATAGGAATTTGCACTTCCTTTAAAGAAAAAGAAAAGGTACTGGCACAAAGGGTCCCCAGTCCCTGAACTTCTATGAAGTGCGCAACTTGGGGCTCGGTGCTGATGTGCACCTTCAGAGTGTCTGTCACGAGCTGCAGGGAACAGCTGTGACATCTGCAGAAGACTGCAGGGAAGATGGCAGAGTGGAGCCAACATCCATCAGCTTCTCGGCTCTTGCTTAGTAAATTTCCCTTTGGGCTTCGAAAACTTGGAAATCTCTGGCTTATTTAAACCACCTTTATTTCATCAAATGGCCTCTTTTTATTTTTTTTTACTTGTTCCTTTTACGTATTCCTGACAGTAGAGTGCCTTGACATACTATACATACCTGAGTGGAACTTCCCATCCTCGTGGTGGTACATGATGTGGAGTTTCTTTGGTCGGGTATTCATATATGAACATAGGGAAGTGGTGATTCATTCCACTGTCTTTTCTGTGCTATCCCCACCTCTCTTCCCTTCATTCCTCTGTCTATCCAATGAACTTCTATTTTCTCTTCTCCCTTTATTGTGTGTTAGTATCCACATACTACAGAGAACATTCAGCCCTTGGTTTGGGGGGGAACTGGCTTATTTCACTTAGCATGATAGTTTCCAGTTCCAATTCATTTGCCGGCAAATGCCATAATTTCATTCTTATTTATGGCAGAGTAATATTAAATTGTGTATGTGGATATATTATATATAACTTGACAAATCTACACAGAACATTATTTTGCAACATGGATCCCTTTGGAGGGATCTCACAGGCTGAGATTCAGAGAAAAGGGACACTTGGGCACTATGAATCTTGAGGGATTATGAAGACCCAGTAGGAACTAAAAATCAGCTTGGGACAGAGAGGCTATCCAAGATGAGCTCTGAGTCCAGAGGTGGCCCCTCCCATCTTCATTTGTTGGGGACTTCTCTGTGGAGGAAGGGGAAGGCAGGATTGCTACTGGTGAGCCTGGGGAGAAGGTGCCTTGAAGTGGTGTGGAAGGGGCAGGTCCAACCCTCCACCTGCTGCAGGAGCAAGAGGAGCACACAGAGGAGAGGATGCCAGCATCCATCGAGGCCTTAAAGGAGCTTATCCATAAAGGGAATGAGAAATCACATTGTAAAATGACCTGACAAACTACTCACCAGTCGGCCTGAGCCGTCTGTTTCAGAGGAGCTGCATGTCCTTGGGTCTCCTTCTACAGACAGAGGAGCACACTGACTTAGGTCACTAAGGAGACACCCCATGCAGGCCTCCTCACTGTAAGCTAACATAAAAATTCTTTCTGGGGAGAGTAACCCCGTCCTTCAGCATTCTGGTAGTGGTTGATGAGCCGGATTCGACTGGACCATGACATAATCGCCCTGCGGGCTGCAGCCTCCCACCCTCCCAGCTGGCAAGACAGCACCCAGAGACTCTCCAGGGCACTGGAATTAGTGTGTGGGTGTGTTCTCTCACGTCTTTATACCACAAACCTTGGCTTTTAAGAAAGGAACTTGATTTATCCTTCCTCTGATCCATGTCCTGGCATGACCTAATACTGGGGAAGTAGGTTCTGGTTCCAGGAGTTTTTAATCCCTTGAAAGAAGAATTCTTCAAAAGGATCAGGTTTATTGAATATTGGAGTTCAACAGGTCTCAGGGCTATTTTAGACTAAGCCTCTCTTTTCAAAAGAAAAATCACAATTTTTTTTTTGTTTAAAATCACATACTTCTCTAATGAAAGAAGAGAGACCAGATCTTAGCCTTTGAGTCTCAGGTTTTCAGAGTGGTGTAAAAACTGAACCAGTAAAACTCAACAGACGGCGTCAGTGTCCTCAAACCTGGGTCCACATTAGAATCACCAGAAGGATTCTTGTTTTATAAGTAAAATTCCAAGATCCAACTCCAGACAATTTGATCATAATCTCTGAATGGGGAGACATAGTTTCTGCATTTTTAAAAAGTTTCCCAGGCAACTCAATGTGGAAGCAGTTTTTTTAAAAAAAAAAACACAAGTCGGGAAAGAGTCTGTCATCTCTGGCTAGCTGACCACGCATCGCCTCTCCCCACCAAGTTCTTGGTGTACGCCGGTGGTTCCAGGTCTAGCTACTAACGGAAGCCCCCTTTTCATTCCCAACAGTGTCCCAGGACATATGACAAGCAGCACCCTGCCCTTACCAGTTTGACTCATAGTCAGTGAAATAGCCTCTCTGATGTTAATTGCAAAATTCCTCCTGAAGTGTTAAAAATTAAGGGAGGAATCATGGTTGTCCAAAACTGAAAAAAAAAAAAATTGATTTGACTACTCTGGAATTCTCCCCCTTAAGAAAGAAAGATCTTCCCATCTCCATACTGATTTTTTGCTTCCTATGTTTAACACAACAGTGTAGCCAAGACTTTGGAAAGACTGTCTTTCTGGGATCTCCCTCAACAATAGGATGACCCCCTTATTTCCCTGTTCAAGAAATAACAATTCATCAGTATTAGCTACATCAGGACTGAAGGGGTGTTGACAGGAAACCACGGGGAAAGGGAATTGCCTTGGCCTGCAGAATCTCCAGAAGATTCCTTTACATAGTTTAAAGGATGGCTAAGTTTTTGTACGATTTATAAAATCTCCATTTCTTCTATTTGTTGTTGTTGATGCTTATTTTAATGAGGAAGTTTTCAGTTTCAAAGAACACAGGTCCAAATTCAACTAGCCAAAGGTAAAATAAACAAGTTAATAAATCTACTGGGATATATCTGGAAAGGAAAGGAACAGTCCCAGCCTTGATCATGGTATACCGAGGACCAGGGCATCGAGACACTTCGCTCTGAGCAGGACCTCCTTCTCCCCATCTCCAGCAGTCCCTCCGCTTCCCAAGGAAGATGACTGCTGGACAGCTCACATCCATGTCCTTCCAGCAGGGGACCCACAAAGTCAAAACACAGCTTTCTATCCTAGTCTCAATAGAAATATCCTGAGGAGCCTCATTTGTCTACCGATGTCATTAAGCTCCCTCTGAAACAATCTCTGTTCAGAGGAACATGGGGGAGTGGATTCAGGGGCTTCCATTGCCAAGACAAAGCCTCATTCCTATTCTCAGAGATTGGGACGTATAAAGAAGGGTCTGTTCTATGAAGTTGGGAGGGACACGGGGGAACCCTTGTTGGACAGTGAAAAACAGCACCTCACCGTTAAGCTCCCATCCTCATCCTCCAGAAGCAGATACTTTAGTTCAAAAGACTTGCAAAGTAAATATCACAGAATCTTCGGGGTAAGACTTGCTTGCTTCTAAGTTGAAGGTGTGCTTGCTTGCAAAGCATGCTCTCCTAAATAGCTTGTTCCAAACCCATCCTGGTGTGGTGGGAAGGAACTGTCTTCACATGGGCACCTGCTCACCGCTACTGGACAATTGCTGTGAGAAACACAGCCACATCTCAAAGAAAGCAAGCAACTAAATCTCTCCTTTATTCTATGGGCGCCCTAAGTGCAGACGGAGAAGCATAGAATTACACAGGAAGTCCAGAAAAGAATGAAATCCAGATCCAGGATGTCCTAACCCTTCCATGACCCCTGAAAAACAAAAACTTTGCAATCAACACTTTAATGCTTTATACTTGAGTATCAGGTGGTAGCAAGAATTTGTGGATTACTGCAATGGCCTGGAGAACAGGTCCAAGGACAGGAGCCATGAGATTAGTTAGTAAATTCTCCCCCTGATCAATTTTAGAAAACACTTCTTAGCCCTTTGTCTCCAAGTTGGGACTACATTCAAATGCAAAAAGAAATAAATACTGATTGAACACAGCTGGAGAGCATCTTAATATCACAGGGCAAGAGAAGTAAGCACAAGCCCATGAGCCCTCTCTGGTGTAATCTCTACTTGGGATCAGATGTTTGAATACATTCATTGCTGCTCCAGAGTGCATTTCCAGCACTGTGTGAATAAGAAATCGTGAATGTGAATGAGCCCATCCTCAACGAGAGAGGGAGACAAATGGGGCCTGAGAAAGGGGGTCTTTTTCCATAGAAATTTGCCAAATTTCAAAGGGGCCTAGGAAGTGGTTGCTAGAGGAGGATCATCACGGGGCCACACATCTGCAAGGTCAGAGAGGAAGTGCTTTTCAAGCTTGGATACTAACTGCGCATTTCCATGCTTCAAGGAGAAAACTGATTCTTTAGACCAAAATTTCTTCAGGTTTGAGGTGCATCACGTCATCCTTGCTGACTTCGTATCTCTGGAGAAAGGGCCCCCAGATTCTTAACCTCACTTGGGGAACATTGTGTAGAACAAACACGGTAGGTAACAGTAGAATATTAAGTTTTCCTTTAGAAATTGAGAGCAACACAAGGATGTCTGCTGTCCCTGTTCTATTCAACATTTTTCAACTAGTTCAATGAAGAAGGAAACTCTAAAAAGGTTAAAAGTGATCAAGTGAATTATAACGAAGAAATTCACTTAATCAATAACACCATCAAAGAATACAAGTACAAGTTATAGAATGAAAGAAAATACAAATCTAGCCAAGGGTTCACATCAAGACTACATGAAAAGCTTCCATTAAACAATTTTTTTAATATTTATTTTTTTAGTTGTAGTTGGACACAATACCTTTATTTTACTTATTTATTTTTATGTGGTGCTGAGGCTTGAACACCAGGGTCTCACAAGTGTGAGGCGAGCACTCTCCCGCTGAGCCACAGCCACGCCCCCATTAAACAATTTAAAAGAGATGGCTACAGAAAAATGGAAAGGGGGCTTGAAGAAGAAGTTAAAAAAAAAAATCCAAACATCCAGTAAATAGAAAAGATTCCCAGCATCACTATAGCCAAGGAAATGCAAATTAGAGCCATAATGAGTGCATTTATAGGAATGGGTAAAATTAAAACAACAAAAAAAAATGTCACATTCTGCCAGTGGGAATATGATTTTGGAGATGGGGGCTACCAGGGATTGAACTCAGAGGTACTCAACCTCTGAGCCACATCCCAGCCCTATTTTGTATTTTATTTAGAGACAGGGTCTCACTGAGTTGCTTAGCTTCTTGCAGTTGCTGAGGCTGACTCTGAACTCGGGATCTTCCTGACTCAGCTTCCTGAACCACTGGGATTTCAGGCACCATCAAGACTTACGGGAATATAAATTTGTCAACAATTTGGAAAACCGTTTGACATCACCCAGGTTAAAATACATACATCCTACCTCTCAGAAATTCCACTCCTAGGCATGTCCCCAACATGTACGTCAGGAGACAGGCACCAAGTATTCACAGTGACATTATTTATAATAGCTAAATACTGAAAACAATGTCCACTGAAGACATGTATGAGTAAGTAGTAATGCCCTCATCCAGGTGAATTCCAAGAAGCAGCACAAATGGAGAATGGTACGAACTAAAAATCCCAGACACACAAGAGTGCTTTACCCTGCGGAAATGCCGACTGC